TTTTTTTTTTGGTACCAGGGATCAGAGATTGAACTCACAACTGCATGCTTGCAAGGCAGGCACTTATGCCACTGAGCTAAATCCCCAGCCCTGAAGGGATGCTTTAAATAAACCAAAGTCAGGAAGCCAATTAGCAAACAGACAGAACCCTCTGATGCTCAAAATATAAAAGAAACACTCAAGAAGAAAAAAAAAGAGAAAACAGACTGAATCAACTTTTTTTTTGTGTGTGTGTGTGGGGGGGTGCTTGATAATGAAAGATCAGAGACATGAAATCAAAAGCCAAAGACACTGAAAAGTGCTTTCCATTTAGAAGCCGGAAGGGTAGGGAAAAGTTTTGGTTTTGAATCAGCTACATCAAGGTTTGTGCCCTTAGGCTCCTCATTTAAGGCAATTTAAGGAAATATCTATTAAATGCTACTGTGTGCTTACTGGGTGATCTCTAAGGTAATGGCTACCTTTTGATTCCTCTCAGTTGCATGCCACTATCATTAGATGACATCCTACTTAAAGAGTTATGATAGAACTCAAAGGTGAATTTGTGGATCCATGGCCTAAAGACATAACCTCTATTTCCCTTCAAAGAAAGAAAGGCAATGAGTCTCATCCCTAAGAAGGGTTTTAGAAAGGACTTCAAGACTTGTATACCTATGAGCACCTATTTCAGATTCATGTAACCTGTTTTTTTTTTTTTTTTTTGTCTTTTTCTTTTTTATCGGTACCGGGGATCGAACTCACGACCACCTGCTTGCAAGGCAGGCGCTTATGCCGCTGAGCTAAACCCCCTGAGGTACCAATAAAAAAGAAAAAGACAAAAAAAAAAAAAAAAAAAAAGAATAAAATCATTGAATGCTCACTGAATACCCAAAAGTGGATATTAAGGTTGTGAATTGTGTTAGATCTAAAAACATAATTTGGTTGGGAAAGGCCTTGCCTATGTACCATAACCTTACCAAATAATATTTACTATTATTATTATTATCTTATATTATTATTATTATTATTATTAGCTTGTCTTTTTGAGACAGGGTTTCACTATACAGTTCAGGCTGGCCTTGAACTCATTTTGTAGCCCAGGCTGGCCTTGAGCTCAGAGAGATCCTCCTGTGTTAGCCTCCCAAGTGCTGGGATTACAGGTGTATGCCACCAAGCCTGACTAGTATTTTTAAAAATTAAATGACGGGGGCTGGGGATTTAGCTCAGGTGCATAAGCGCCTGCCTTGCAAGCACGGGGTCATGAGTTCGATCTCTGGTACCGATAAAAAAAAAAAAATTAAATGACACACTAGTTGGGCTGCCCCAAAGTAATCCTCCAAGGTCAGAGAAGTAATGATGCCTAAAGAAGTGAGGGAGGGTTTCCTGTAAAATCAGCTGAAACTTTAGGGAATGTTTTGGGATGAATGGAGGGGGTGGATGACAGTGAACAACACATGACCATATCCGGAGAAATGCGGGCAGCCTGTGTTAGGAAAAGGGAGAGACAGGCTTGTGTGGAATAAGGATGCATTATCTGTGCACACTGGGAGAGACGGCCTGCTAATGGGGTGGCAGGGTGGAGTCAGACTCCAGGGGCCTTACAGACAGAACACAGAGTAAGCAACATTATCAGCTTGCTGAAAAGCAACAATACGCTCTCAGGTTTCAATCGTGTGATCCACTACTGTTCAGTGAAGAGATTAGGCACAAATTTTTGATAATAGCAGTGGATGTAATTTGGCTATCTTGTAGAAAGTTTTGAACAATATATTAGACATTTAAAATGGAATGGAATCAAGGGTAGTGTCAGGCCCTGAGAACTCACTTAGAGCTAGGAGAGAGCAGATGGAAAGGAATGGGAGGGGGTTAAGAGTTCAGGGGCCTCCAAGAGACTATGCTGGGACTTGTCTGACTTAAATGTTTTATAAGTGATCCAGAAGAAGTAGAGCAAAGTAAAATTTCAGCACTGCAGATCATATAGACTGCTTTCAGGTAGGAAAATCCTAAGCTGAGGGAAAGGAGTGGAGAAGAGAGACAGAGACAGAGAGAGTGAGAGAAAGAGAGAGAGAGAGAGAGAGAGAGAGAGAGAGAGAGAGAGAGAGAAAGAGAGAGAGATGCAAAATGGCAGCTGAACATCAACACAGGGAAATGTAAGGCAATGCATGCTGATAAAAATAATCCCCATACTGATACGGTGTTGGGTTCCAGGCTATCAGTTCTGACCCAGGAAAGGGATCAGGGAGCTATGCGGACAGGTTCCTAGGCTGCCTAGGGTGCTGAGGATAGCTGACATGGAGATGGGCAGATGCAAGAATGGGACCTAGAAATCAACGAAAAAAAAATCACCCTTTCTTTATGCAAAATCATAGGGTTCCACAGTTGGGGACAGTGGTCAGCTTGAAAATGTGGGCTCAGATATATCCAAGAAGGACATCTAAAATGATCCAGAGGATAAATGTGCTTATTCTGAGGCTGGCTGTCATGTTGGGGGAGCTTAAGTTTGTAAATAAAAAAGCTAAGAGCAGTGGAATATAATCAAAGCCTGTAAAATTGGTAAGGATAAAGACTGGGTAAATGTAACCTTCTCTCTGAATCCTGACATATTTATTTAAATCACCTCCTCTTAATGCTCGAAATGCCACAGAATAAAAAAGCATCACAGTTGACATTTCCCAGCCCTGTCTCTGTAAGGTTCAAACCTACAGAGGGCAAGGAAATGCCTTCAGGTCACAGAAAACACCAGGGGCCAAAGTCAGATTAGACTCCAGGTCCCCTAAATCCCAGATCAGTGTCTTTCCATCTCATCGTGTACACTCAGGAAGTCTAAGCACATCCTACTTCTTCTAGGGTGTAAACTCATGAAACACATTACTTTGACATGAGCTAAAGCTAAAAACACAAACAAGCTAGGAAAAGTTTTCACTAAAACTCAACTGGCAATTATAAGATCATTGGAGACAACTATTAACTAGGGCTAAAGATTCTTCTACACACCCTAATTTTGGAAGGAACATGTAACCCTTTGTAAATCTGAAGAAATGTAGGGATTCTCTCCTAGAAAAATATGCATTTGTATATGCAAACACAAATCTACAGAAAATTTCAGGGAATTTATGGCCTCTGGCGTCCCATGCCCAGTTAAAAATTGCTGTTCTGGCAGAGTCTTCTGAACAGACTGCCTGCTTCAACAAGTACACTCCTTCTTAGGATAATTCAGGAAATCGCTCTGAATTTTCCAAGCACAATACCATAGTCTCAATATTGTTAGACGCACAGACCTCTAGATTGGAAGAGACCAGAGCAATTACATAGTTCAACTGCCCCCTCCCCATATGATGCAGAATAATGACATGGTTAAATGTGAGGAAAGCAGAGTTAGTCTGCCTGGGTTAAAACCCCAGCTTCTTCACTCACTAGCTGTGTGACCTTGGGCAAGTTACTTATGTGGTTTGAGTCAATAAGGTCTGTAAAATGGGGATAACAATCACAACTATCTCCTAGAGTACTTATGAAGATTAAGTGAGCTAATGCATATAATGTATAAAGCACCAGGCCTGGCCTCTAACGCGTTCAGTAAATGCTCGTTGGCATTACTGTTATTATTATGCATGTATCCATGCAAGTATTATGCACGCATCCATCCAATCGTGTCCTGGAGCTTTTGCTAGCACATGCCAGTGATGAGCAGCTCACTGTCTTCTAAACTGGCTGAGCAGCTCCAATCGTTACAAACTTCTTTTTATATTAAGCTGAAATCTGCCTTCTTGCAACCCCTTCCCCCCACCCTTAGTTGGCCTTAGTGCTGCCCTGTAGGGCAACACCGAGCAAGTCTATTTTGTCTCCACCTCTGGATACGAACAGAGGGATCCAGTCCTTCCTCCGCCCTCCCCTCCCCCTTCTCCAGCTTGAACATCCTCGGCTTCTTCTCCCACAACAGACTGGCTGCGCTTACTATTTACTCCGAGGCGTTGTACGGTTTCCCTCACACATAGTCATGCAGGCCACACACCTCACCGCCACCACAACAATCCCGACCCCGCCGCTCCCGCCCCCGCCGCTGCCCTGTCCGCGGTGCTGAACGGCTCCGGCCGCGGCGGCCCCGGCGCAGCCCTCCCCGCTCCCGCGGCCGCGGCCCGGACCTGAGCGCGGACCCCGCGCGTCGCCCCGCCGCCCCCCACAGTGGGCGCGGCGCGGCCCAGGCCCTGCCGGTGCCGCCCCCCGCCCCGCCCGCAGGCCCGCGCCCCACCTGCCCGGCGAAGGGCGCCTCCGCCGCGGCCGCCCGGTCCCCGGCGCCCGCCGCCCGCGCGGCGCCCGGCAGGCAGCAGAGCGCGGGCAGCAGCAGTAGCAGCGGCAGCGGCAGCAGCCGCCGCCCCGGGGCCCGCCAGCGGCTCCGGCGTGCGGCCCGGCCCGGCGCGGCGCGGCCGCCCCGGGTCCTCGGCATCCCGGCGGCGGGGCCCGGCCGCCCGGCTGCGATGGCGGCGGCGGGGGCGGCGGCTCCGGCCGGGTCCTCCCGCTGCAGCCGCTGCGGAGCCGCCGAGTCACGGCGCCGCGGACACGCGCCCGGCCCGCCTGCCTCCGCCGCCGCCGCCGCCGCCGCCGCCGCCACCGCCGCCTCGGCCGCCCGCGCGCCCCCGCCTCCGCGCGCCCCGCCCCGGCAGGGGGCGGCCAGGGCGCGGGGGCAGCACCCAGCCCGGCCTGCGGGGCGGCGGCTCCGGGCGGCGCGGCTGGGGCTGGGGCTGGGGCTGGGGCTGGGGCTGGGGTGGAGGCGCGGGGGGAGCATGGGCGGTCGCCCAGGCGGAAAGAACAGCGTCCGGGCAGGTGGGTAGGTGGGTGGCTGTGTGGTTGGGGTGGGTGGAGGAGGGCGTCGGGCGGTAGCCCCGAGGGCGAGCGAAGAGGCGAAATAATCCTGGCTCTGGGGAGGAAAGTCGGGGTTAGAGGCCTGAAGGCCAAGGCGAGCGGTGGGTGGGTGGGGGTGTCCCTGGAAGAGGTGGGATTCCGGGAGACAGCCTAGAGGAGGGGACTGAGGAGTGCCCTGGGGCAGGGCTGGGAATGAGAGGGTGACCCTGGAGAGGAGCAGCGTGCAGGGGCCAGCAGGTGGAGAAGGTACAAAGAAACCCAAGGCCCTTAACGTGGGCAGCTCTGGGAAGCTTTAGGTGAAGTTAAGGCAAAGCTCACGCCTCCCATATTCCAGGAGGCAAAGAGATCTCCCAGCTAGGGGGCTCATCTTTCATTCCAAAGAGCCTGTATTTACTGGGGATTTTCTATACGTAAGACTCTGGTCTGCTTGGGATACTAACAAGCAAACAAGGCCCATTCCTGAAATGCAAAGGTTTACACCTTACTGAGAAAGTTGAAGCTCAAAGAAATATAGGACAGCAAGCACCAAATGTCAAAAAACATTCAAGCAAATGCTCCAGGAGCCGAAGGAGAAGAGGGCCTGGAGCGGTTGGGAAAGGTATCAGGAGGAGTAGGACCCTCGGTAGGCTCTTAAACAAAGGAAAGGCAGTGGCAGAGGACGTTGAGGGTGTTCATGCTGTGGCTGGGGTGGCAGGTCAGTTTCTCTGGAGCACAGAAGATGCTGGGGAATGTGGGAAATAGTACAGGTTGGTGAATGGTAGGGTAATGAATTCGGGTTGTACTCTGAATCGAGTGGTGATAAGATTTTCTTCAACAGGAGAATGTACAAAAAATGGTATTTTGTCGGTTTTAGAATCAAAAATATGTTCAAATCCTGGCTTATTACACTTTTATAAGATGATACCAGTAATTACTGTATGAGGGAGCTGTAAGGATGAAGCACTTGGAACTTAATAGAGGTTGCTTGTGAGTTTCCTTCAGAAGGTAGAGAATAATGACCAGAAGAGGCAGAGATGAGTTGGGAGACTATTGCAATACGTCACTTCAAGAAAATAATGAGTGCAATAATAGTTAACACTTATGGAATGCCTGCTACACGGACCAGCCATGGGCTAAGCACTTTACCTGAATTCTGTCTCATTTAATCCTGATCGAAAAACCCTACAGAACAGTTACAGTTATTTCAATTTAGGAAAAGGAGGTGACAGTTCTGAGGAAGGGTATGGCTGATAAGTGGCATGCCTAGAACAATATGGCCTCAGAACCCATTTTTTTTTTTTTTTTTTAAGATGACCTGAAAGGTAAGAGACAGTGGTATCAAAGAAGGAGGAAAGGCCAACTCAGAAAGAGGAATGGCTGTCTTCACAGAACCGGAGTCATCAGGAAAAGGAAGTGGCTTGGGGGAGATGACAGAAGTTGAGTTTGGGGCTTGCTGAGGTTGGAAGTGACCACCAGTCACTGAGATGGGTACAGAAATGAGTTCGGAAGAGGGTGAAGCAAGGATATGCTGGAACTCTTCAGGTCAAGTACAATATTTGAATCTGAAAGGGAAGAATAAAAAAGAACAAAAGACAACAGGCCCCATCTTGGGGCATCTGTGAAGAGCAATTACAGGAGTCTGAAGAAGAGTCTAGAAGACTGAAGAGCCAGGATAGAGGAGTGCCAGGTGAAGGGTTGGAGAGCCCCTGAGAGATGGGAGGGGTCGGCAGTCTCAGGAGATCAAAGGGGCTAAAGACTGGCAAACACCACTGAATGGCTCACAGTCCAGCAGGATGGGAGAGATAGGTCATCGTGGTTACAGAAGTTATGACACAGATGAGGACAAGGCCTTGTTCTCACTGAAGAAAGACAATGAACAGCCCAATTTTGGAAGATTTGGGAGTGGATATTTTCCAGTGTGTATTGGGGAGGGAAATGAAGCGGACGGGCCTGGGCTTTTCTTTGTTTTTTTGAGGCAGGGTCTTGTTATGTAGTTGTCTGGCCTTGAACTCACTGTGTAGGCCCTGCTGGCCTGGAACTTGTAGTGAGCCTCTTGCCTCAGCCTCCTGAGTGCTGGGATACGTGTGCCCACTACCTGGCCTAGCAAACTCATGTCCTCTACCTAATGCCAAATGCTCTTGACCAGCAAATGATGTTACAGAGCTAGAGCAGTCCGCCATGAGCCAGCTACCAGGGAGGGGTACTAGATGTGGATTGGCAGTAGGTAACTGCAAACAAGAAAAAGAACAGGCTGACAAGAGTGAATGGGTACTTATCAAATGAGTTCCTAAGGTAGTTCTTAGTAAGAGGAAGGTCCACAAACCATTGTGAAGTCACTTCAAAAATTAACAACAGTTTAGGCTTTAGAATAATACCAGACAATGGAGTCACCAGAGCTGACTTCTGGGCCTTCAATGATCATGATAAGTATGAGATAAAAGAGAAAAAAGGCTGAGTGTGGTGGTACATGCTTTGTAACCCCAGCAACACTCAGGAGGTTGAGGCAGGAGGATCACCATGAGTTTAAGGCCAGCCTGGACTACACATGAGACCTTGTCTCAAAAACCAAACCAAAACCAACACAAAACAGAACAACCAAAGCAGAAGAGAGCCCATGATTTAAAGCCTGGAAATCACTAACTTCCGTGTGCTTTCATCAAGTCAGTCTCTTTGAGTCTTTGTTTCCTCTTGTGTAAAATGAAACTGATATCCCCTGTCTTCTTCAACTCATAGAGACCCAAGAATGGTTAGGACTCACTTTTTAAAATGATATGGTCAAGTGACCAAATGTCAAGGAAAACTTATATATTGAGGACTTACAAATTCCCAGCTTGACCCTCATTTTGTATTGTTTCTCTCTGTGAATCTTGGGTCAGATCTCTTCTCAACTGTGCATATCAACTGATCATTTTGGAGGTGTCTATCTAGAGGCTGGCTGAACTGTTGATTTGCCCTGGAATTTACACGATTTCATCCCCCTTCAAGATTAGGGGAACCAAAAGAAGAGGTTTACAGGGATATTCAGCTATACCCAGAAGCCTTGAATCACGGTTCTAATCCTGTGATCACCTGAATTCCAAGAAAGGAGGAGCCAGGGCCTCCACCACAGAGACCATCGTGTTCTATGGACACAACCATCCCTCAACGGAGAAGATTCCAGAGCCATGGTACCAGAGCTGAGACCAAGTGGAGTCCAGCCCACTTCCTAATCTTTGAAAACTGGCCTGCTCCCTTTGTGGATGAGCCAGTCTGAATCCCAGTGAGAGTGTGCCCCCTCCAGCTACTTATGCTGGAGGCCTTTCCTCTAACTTTCCAATTAATTTTTTTATCTGTTAAAAAAAACAAAAACCGGGTCAATCCCCGGTACCGATAAAAAGGAAGAAGATGGGGATTTAGCTCAGTGGCACAAGCGCCTGCTTTGCAAGCACATGGTCATGAGTTTGATCCCCAGTACCGATTAAAAAAACAAAAACAAAAACCTATGATATTGATAATCTTATCAAGTAATATTATATCACTGCCAGAGCTTACTGTTTCCTCCACTTCTTATTTATTTATTGAGTACACATTTATTGTGTATCTCCTGAGTGCTTTTTTTTTTCTTTTTAAAGTAGAAAGAATTTATTTATTTATTTATTTTTGTCTTTTTCATTTTTATCGGTACCAGGGATCGAACTCATTACCACCTGCTTGCAAGGCAGGTACTTATGCCGCTGAGGTAAATCCCCAGCCCCGAAAGAATTTATTGAGAGAAAGAAAATTTCTAAGAGGAACAGAAAGAGCCCCAGAAGTGAGTTTGCCTATGTTTTCCTTTTTTGAGACAGGGCCTTGCTATATAGTTCAAGCTGCCTTGTACTCACTATGTAGTCCAGGCTGTTGGGATCACTGAACTCACAGTGATCCCCCTGTCTCAGCCTTCTGAGTGCTAGGATTACATGCCACTATGCCCAGTTTTGAAAGCTAAATATTGCAAGAGATGCTGGGGATATGAAGAAGATTCATGCAGAGTTTCTGCTTGTAGAGGTCAGTTGGGAGATAGACAATTAGAAGTTAACACAAATATGTGCTGAGAGAGAAAACAGTGAATTATGGGAGCAGAGAAGAGGAAACTACAGATTGTCTAGAGATGGCAGGAGGTAAGAGGAGCCGTAACTGACCAGCAGGCATTTGCCATATAGAGCGGGAGGAGCTGTTTGCACAAAGGAACAGATATGAAGGGATAACAAAAGACTGGTAGTAACACCAAGACATTATTGTCTTTTTTAATTCCTCTCATGAGAATACTGTGGTTTCCAGAGGTTTTGTGATTCATCGCCACAGATTCAATACAGAAGCAGATACAAGAATACAATTTTAGGCTGGGGATATAGCTCAGTGGCACAGTGCCTGCCTGGCAAGCACAAGGTTGTGAGTTTGATCCTGGCAAGCACAACCGCAGATTTTCAAAAATATGGAATAATACCATTCTTCTCATTAAGCTTTTTTCTTTGTTTTGGAAGATATGGATATTTTCCATAACAATGTTTTAAATGTTAACAGGCCTATTTGTTAATTAATTAATATGTAAATGTTTTTAAATTTCTCAGTTTTGATTCCTAGGATAATTACTGATAAATAATTCACATAAACATAAGCTCGAGTCCTCAATAATTTTTGAGAGTGTAAAGAGGGTCCTGAAACTCAAAGTTTTTGTTTTTTGGGGTACTGGGAATCAAACTCAGGATGTCACATTTGCCAGGCAGGCACTGTGCTATTGAGCTAAATCCCCAACCTGAAACCCAGAATTTTGATAATTCTGTTCCAGGCAGTGGGGCATTACCTACCTCTGTCTGTCTGTCTGTCTGTCTGTCTGTCTTTGTTGGGGATGGAACCCAGGGCCTCGTGTATGCTAGGCAAGTGCTCTACCACAGAGCTATACCTGCAGCCCATGGAAAGGATTTTAATAGAGGAATGACGTGACAGCATTTGACTTCATTCGATAAATAAATTCAACAAATATTTGAATTTGCCTTAGCCTCCGGAGTATGGGATCAGAGGTATGTGGGACCACATCCAGCCTTCAACAAATATTTATTAAATGGGTGCTTTGTGTTGAATACTATCCTACTGCTGGCATAGAGCAGTAAACATCAGATAAAACTCCCTGTTTTTACATAACTGAAATCCTGATAGGGGTGACAGACCACAAACAAAATAATTTAAAAATATGTTTAGATAGTGACTGTGGAGAAAACCAGGGAACCAGGACATGAAATGTGAGGTGTGTGTGTGTATGTGAGAGAGAGAAAGAGAGAGAGAGAGAGAGAGAGAGAGAGAGAGAGAGAGAGAGAGAGAGAGAAAGAGAGAGAGAGAGTGTCTGTCTGTCTGTGAAATTTAGGATCAAGTGGCTGGGAAGACCTCAGTTAAGAAAGTGAACGTTTTGCAAAGAATGGAAGGAGTAAGGCAGTGGATCATGCAGCTTTCAAGAGAAAAATGTTTAGGAAGAGGAAATAGCAAGTATGAAATTCTGGAGACGAGCATGTCTGGCAGGTTTGGAGGACAACTCGGAGCCCGGCGTGGCCAGCATGGAAGAGGAGGCGTAGGAGAAGAGGAAGGTTACAGAGGTGGAAGGTTCTGAGACATCTGCTTTGCAGCAGCAGCCTCGCTGTGGTTGCTGGGCAGGGGAAGGTTGAGGCCATGGTAGCTGGGAGGTGCTGCCTTCCTCCAGGCGCAAGATAAATGACCTGGGCCCGCGAACAAGGGGATATAGTGAGGGTCTAGCTGGATTCTTGGTACAGTCTGAAGGTAGAACTAACAAAATTTGGCAATGGGTTTAATATGAAGTATGAAGAAGAGAGGAAAACCAAATGATGCCAAACTTCTTACCTGAGCAACTAGAAGAAGAGTTGCCTTTATCAGACACAAGATGAGAAAGGTGGGTTTGCATAAAAATATCAAGAGCTCAGTTTGGACCTCCCTCCACCCCCAGTTAGAGACACATTAAGTAGGAGACGTCTATCAAACACCCAAGTGGACAGGGCAAGCGGGCCATGTGATATGTGGCCTGAGTCCAAGACAGAGGTCAAATGGAATGGAATTGGGAGGTTCTCAGAATAAAGACAATATTTAAAAGTTCAGGGACCAGAAGAAATGACTTGGGAAATAAGTGAATGTAAAAAAGAGCTCTAATGACTGGGTCCAAGGAAAGCTGTAATATTTAGAGATTAGAAAAATGAAGGGGAATCAGCAAAAGATGTGGAGAAGGAACAGTCAAAATGAAGAAAACTCAGGGAGAAATCCTGGAAGCCAAGTGAAGAAAGTGTTTTAAGAAAAGGAGGAGTAATTGGGGGCTGGGGATTTAGCTCAGCGGCATAAGCACCTGCCTTGCAAGCAGGCGGTCGTGAGTTTGATCCCTGATGCCGATTAAAAAAAAAAAGGGAAAAGGAGGAGTAATTAACCGTGTCATGAAGATCAACTAATAGGAAGATCAAGAAAAGCTTATTAAGCTGTGCATGATGGAGGACACTTGTCATCCTCGCACCCAGGAGGCTGAGGCAGGGATATCACTGCAAGCAGACTACAGCAATAACAAAAGGTATTGCAAGAATCCTATAAACGTTATGAATCAGCTGCTCTGTGGAAGGTTCTGTGCTGAATGAGACAGTCTTCAAGTAAAAAAGCTATGACTGAGCACACTTAAGATGTGACAAATAACCACAACTTGTCACACCGGGCTGTAGGGTTGTGGAGGGAGTGAGGTCACTCTGCCTGGGGAGCTCAGGGAGATGAAGGAAGGCTCCTAAGGGATGTCACTTTTGAGATATGCTGTTTTATATGTATTGTACTACTAGCATTACTATACTGTACTTAAAAACTAGAAACAACAGAAGACTATCGTAAAATTTTAACTGGTAGAGAACGCAGGGTAAACTGGGAGTGGTAACCCCCACCTGTAATTTGAACACTCTAGGAGGTTGAGGCAAGAGAGTCATAAATTGAAACCCAATTTAGCAATTTAGCAAAACACTGTCTCAAAATAGAAAATAAAATAAAAAGGACTGGGGGTATAGCTCAGTATAAAAGCTCTGGGTTGTTCAATACCCAGTGTGGGGGGGAAAAAAAAAAGGACAGTAAAGGCACTGGTGGAAGGGTCTGAATGTTCATGTTCAGGATCCAGTAAAGTCTCAATTATAGCTCAATACCTCATGCTGGTCTCAGGATCCAGCCCCAAATGACCTGCGGGACCTGCCAATTGTGTTTTTCCCATGAGAGATATGCAAAGCCGTGCATCTACAATGGAGCACTGTGCACTTATTTTAAAAAATGAGGAAGTACTTTATGACTTAGGAAATTATTTCCAAATTGTAACGTAAAATGGAAGAAAATCAAGGTGCAGAATTCTGTACTTGGTATGCCACTATTGATATGATACTGGGAAAAAAGAATGAATGTGTATGTCCAATTGCTTGTTTACAAGAAGCAGATACAGCAATTAATTGTCCCCTGGAGGGGAGTTATGTGGCTTCTGGACAAGGTGGGAGGGAGAGTTTCACTGTATATCTTTTTTCATCGTTTCAGGTTATTTGTTGTTGTTTGGCTTTTTTTGTCTTTTTGAGACAGGGTCTTGCTATGCAGTTCAGGCTGGGCTTGAGCTCACTTTGTAGCCCGTGCTGGTCTCGAACTGGCAATGATTCCCCGGTCTCAGCCTCCCAAGTGCTGGGATTACAGGAGTGAGCCACCACACCCAGCCTTTCAGTTTTTAATCATGAGACATTTTTAAAAGTAAGTATTGTAAGGTATGATGGTGCACACCTGTGATTCCTGCACTCGAGGCTGAGGCAGAAGAACCACTACAAGTTTGAGGCCGTCCTGGATGACACAGTGAGTTCAAGGCAGGTCTGAACTTCATAATGAGACCCTGTCTCAAAACAAAAACAAAAACCAGAATAACAACCTAAAAATAAAAGCCTAAAATAATTAAATAAATGGATGAATGAATTTAACTGTAATCATGTCTAAAGACCATAGAAAAGAGGCCAGAATGTATTCAAATATAGCATAAGCTATGGCAGTTTATTTAGGTGGCAGTTTAAAAAAATCCAGACCTTCATCTTGACAGCAAAGAAATGGAGTTATTAGAAATAAAGTTATAAGAAACTTCCCAAAAATTAATTTAAATGTTTGCTTTCAATTTTTTAAAACTTAAAAACAGCTCTAATCAATAAGAAAAAGACCTGTAACTCAATTCAAAATGGCAAATAGATAAATTGGGCTTTATGTAAATAGAAATATAAGTGGGTTTTATAGTGATCTTTTAAATAACTATCCTCATTTGTTAAGAAAGAAAAGCGAATTAAAACAGTGGGCTGCTGACTGTGATGGTGCACACCTGTAATCCCAGCACTTGGGAGGCTGAGGCAGGAGATCACTGCAAATTTGAGGCCAGTCTGAGCTCACAGTGGGCTCAAGGCCACTTGAACTAAATAGTGAGACCCTGCTCAAAAACTGAACAAAACAATGAGCTGCTTCTTTTTCACCAAACTGCAAATACCAATTACTAAAAGTCAGTTGTGACTGAGTGTTCAAGAGAGCGTGGTAGAACACTTGTCCCAGGGGCTGTGGTACTGTCGTACAATGACCACTCTGGAGCATGGCGGAGCAGTCCCTGGCTACGTTGCAGATGGGCATCCTTCAACCCATAATTCTGACTTGGAGAATTTGTCTGACATGGAGACCTTGCATGTGTACAGAGACAAGTACAGTCTGTACAATCATTTGTCGCAGTATTCTTCGTCATTACAAAAGATGGAAACCTAGCTATTTTCCAGCTGAGAAAGTGCTACATCAAATAGGAACCCAAAGGAGCTGTGGTGAAGAATGATGTGGCTCCGTGTTTTCTTCTGATAGACCTCAGCATAGGCCTTTCTTCATCTCTGACTTGGACTACAGCAGGAGCTCCCGCCATCTCCTCGCCTTCCCTGTGCCCTCTTCTAGGACCTGCTAGGTAATTTATAAGGCCCAGTGCAAAACAGAAATGCAGGAACCTTTGTTAAAAATAGTGAGGGTATCAATACGGTGGTGGCAGAGCATTAAGACAAGTGTGGGGGTGGCTGGGGGTTTAGCTCAGCGGCATAAGCGCCTGCCTTGCAAGCAGGCAGTCCCGGTACCGATAAAAAGGAAAAACACACACAAAAAAAAAAAAAAAAAAAAAAAAGACAAGTGTGGGGCCTTGTGTGACTACAAAGGTCACAAGCGCATGAAGCTGGCCCTGCCCCTTGAATGACGCTCAGACACCACCATCCCTTTTTCTGTATTGTGTGATACCTGCTTGTCAAGAAACAACTTCAGAGTGACCTGCGTTACCAAACTCTCCTTGAACCCTTTCAAGTCATTCTTTATCAGCTTCTCGGCTCTTCCACAGCTTTTTTTTTTTTTTTTTTTCTGAGACAGTATCTCATGTAATTTAGACAGGCCCTGTACTCACTGTGAGCCTCCTGCCTCGGCTTCCTGAGTGCTGGAATTACAGGTGTTTGTCATCCTGCCCAGCTCTCTTTATCATATTTTCCTCTCTCTCTGGTCCCTCACTCTAGGTCCATTGCTAGTTCAGACAGGGTCGAGGCTGACCTTGAACTCACTATGTAGCCCAGGCTGACCTAAAACTTGTGATGATCCTCTTGCCTCAGCCTCTAGTGCTGGGACCATAGATGTATGTCAACATGTTTGGCTCAACTGATCTTTTACATATAGAAGTTTCTCAGGGCAGCTACCAGCCTCTTCTCTCTCTCTATTCTTTTCACACTAAGAGGTTTCATCCATTGCTACAGTTTCAAATACTATCTGTGGCTCAACAACCCCCCAGTTTTTATTTCTAACCTGGGTCTTGATCCCACACTCCTAGATCAGACTGTTTCCTCCACACCTATCCTTGGCTCTCCTGGGATTCCTAACTGGCAAGGGAACAAAGCCAAGCTCATGATGCTCCCTCTCATGCTCTTGTCTTCCCACAGTTTAGGGGTAGGTCTCCGTCTCCCCGGTACTCATCCCAGAGCTCCAGGAGCATCTCTGGTAACTCTGTTTCCCCCTTGGGGGCCACTCAATAGTTTATCCTTACCGATTCTGCCTCATGCAAGATTCCCCCAGGCCTCCAGGCGAGGCTACACGCACCAACCTCTCCCTTCACACAGCACCTGGTACCTCACAGTACCTCTCTACATGTTTATGTTGTACTTAATTTGTGTAGTCCCATCTCCCCCTCTACATGACAGACTCTATCAGTACAAGGGTCACGTCTGACTTGCTTCTGCCATATAGTAGGTGCTCAACATATATATACATGTATATAATAAAGTACATATAAACTGTATATAATATATAATACATAATATATGTGTATATATGTATTAGTCCTATATACATATATTATTCCTATATTTTCTAGGCTGGCCTTGAACTCACTATATAGTCCAGACTGGCCTCGAAGTTTCGGGGATCCTCTTGCCTCAGCCTCCTGAGTGCGGAGATTACGGGTTTGCGCTATCACGCCCAACTCAACAAAGAGCAAATGTGTTTATGGCAGGATTTATGTAACGCCTGTGCTGTGTGCACAGTAGGGGGCAGCAGAGTATAGGTGATGGAAAGAGTCCAGTCCTCAGGTTTTGGTTTGTTTTTTGGTTTTTTGTTTTGTTTCTCCGGTTTGGTTTTTTGGATTTGAATGGAACTCTAGACCACGCGTTTGCCAGGCAGGCGCTGTGCTCAGGCTTAAATTTAAGGATAACTTTAGACAAGTCACTTAACCTTCCGGAGACCCTATTTCCTTCCCTGGAAGTCAGAGCCAGTTCTCCTTCCCTTTGATCAGAGGAGGTAATTAGATGCAGAAGGGCTGCACACAGGCCGGAGAGTTTTATCCCAGCTAAGATAAATATTTGTTGCTCGCACGGAGACAGACGAAGAGGACCCAGGTTTTGTGACTTTGGAACAGATTTGCGTAAAGGCTCGACCCATTCCGAGAGCGAGACCGCCCAAAGTCCAGAGCCAGCCTGAGGCTCGGCTGTGGGGTCAGCGCCCTGCGGGTGGGCCGGCAGCTCTGCCCCCTCCCTGCCCGCGGCGTCCCTGCGCTGCCCCCAGGGCGCTCTCCTTTGCCTCCCCCAGGCGTAGAGGGTGCTCGCTGCCTGCCCTCACAGCTCTCTCCCTTTCCTCCCCGGCATAGACGCTGCTCCCTGCAGTCCGCATACAACCAGGTTGAAGGTTCCCAGTCACAGGAGCAGGCCTTCCGGAGACAGAGGAAATAGCCGGCTCAAGAGGAGAAAATTCCAGGTGATCAAGGTTTTAGTTTCGGTGGAATGAGAGGAAATGGAAAATTAACAAGGATTAAGGTAGTCCCAATTTTGGGCTAAAAGAAATTATACGAACAGAGTCTGTGAGATATGACTTTGTAGTAAAAAGAGGAAAATTCTTTAAAAGCCCTTTTCACATGTGTACACATATGAGATGTGTATATACAAATAATGTAATTATACTTTAAGTAAAATTCTTTTTCATGCACAGTTCTGGAAGTTTTAACAAATGCACATAATCAGTCGTATAACCATTACCACAAGCCAAACATAGAACAATTAATCAACCCTGCTTCATTCTCACGTGTTATTTTTTTGTAGTCAAAACTTGCCCCTAGCCAGGTGCCCTGGTACATGCCTGTAATCTCAGCACTTGGGAGGCTAAAGCAGGAGGTTCACTACGGGTTCAAAATCAGCCTGGACTGCATAGAGAGAACCTGGCTCGGGGGAAAAAAAAGTTTCTATGAACATTCTCATTCAGATATTTGCATGGACATAAAATTTCATTTTAGTTGGGCAAAACTGTAGGAAGGATTGTTGGGTCGTGTGTTAAATGTATGTTTACAAGAAATCAAGAGAGGGCTGAATCATTGTGCACTCCTGCCAGCAGCATGAGAGCTCCAGCTGCTCAGCATCCTCATCAGTGACTGCTGCTGCCAGAAAGGTTAGCAACTTGTGAGGTGCTTGGACATGGCACATTGTAGTTTTCATTTACATTTTCCTCACCACTAATGCTGTTGTGTGTCTTTCCATGGGCTTATTTGCCCTGATATACCTTCTGGGCTGAAGTGTTTGTTCAAATCTTCACATAGTCTCCAGCTTTTTTGGGGGGAGGAGGGGAGGTAAATTCTGGATTCATTTGTTATAAGTATAATTTGCAAATATTTTCTCCCAACTTGTTGCTTTTCATTGCCTTAATAATATTTTTTCTTTGAGTATTGGGATTTTTTTTTTTTTTTTTTTTTTTTTTTTTTTGGTACCAGGGATCAAACTCACAATCTTGTACTTGCCAAGCAGGCGCTTATGCTACTGAGCTAAATCCCCAGCTCCGAGTATGGGGCATTGAACTCAGTCCTCTTTATTTTGACACAGGATCTCAGCAAGTTGCCCATGTTTGACAAAGGTGCCAAACACATTCACTGGAAGAAAGATAGCCTCTTTAATAAATGGTGCTGGAAAAGCTGGCTCTACACACATGGAAGATTAAAACTGAACCCATATAAAATCCGAATGGATCAAAGATCTAAATATTAAGACAGAAATATTAAATGTGCTGGAAGAGAGAGTTAGGTAAAGCTCTTGAAGACATTGGTGTAAACAAAGACTATGAACAAAACTCCGATTGCACAGGAACTATTATGAAGAATCAACAACTGAGATCTCACCTTACTAAAAAGCTTTTGCACAGCAAGAGAAACCACCAATAGAGTGAAGAGACAACCCACAATGTGGGAGAAAAGTTTGCCAGCTGTTCCTCAGACAAAGCATTACTATTGAGAACATATAAAGAACTCAAAACAATCAGTCCTCCCAGATTTAAAGACCCAATCCAAAAATGGGCATCTGAGATGAATACACACTTCTCAGATAAAGAAATACAGACAGCAAATAAATATGTGAAAAAATGTTAAATATCATTGGTCACTTGAGAGATGCAAATTAAAGCAACACAGATTCCCTTCACCCCAGAAAGAATGGCTATTATCAAGAAATCAACCAATAACAAATGCTGGAGGGCTTGTGAGGAAAAAGGAACCCTTCACTGTTGGTGAGAGTGTAGACTGGTGCAACCACTGTGGACATCAGTGTGGAGATTCCTCAGAAAACTAGGACTAGAGGTCCCATTCAACCCAGTTATTCCCTTTCTGGATATCTTCCCAAAAGAATTTAAAACATCATACCACAGTGATACACGTGCACCCATGCTTATAGCAGCACAATTTGTAATAGCCAGATCCAGACAACCCAAATGCCCACTGACTGAAGAATGGATAAAAAAGAAATGGTCTTTTTATATGATAGAGTACTTCTTGGTCTTAAAGAAGGATAAAATGGAGTCTTTTATAGGTAAATGGATGCAACTTGAGACCATGCTCATTAGTAAATAAGGGAACACATATGTAAACAATGATAGTCATGTTAAGTCTGTTTAATGGCTCCCAGATTTCTAAACTTCTGAGTCATTTGGGGATTAGTATCTGTTTTATTTTTCTTCTCCTGATAATGGATTTTGGTTCCTGTTAGTAATTTTTGGCTGCGTGTTGTCATCTTGAATAGTGTGGGACTCTGTGTCCCATGCAATCCTCTGCATGTTGATTATTTTTACTTTAGCAGGAAATCAGTGTGGACTTAGATGACAAATTTTGCTTTGCATTCTTAGGATGATGGCCTCAGGGTCCAGTCATCTTTGGAGTCCCTGTTGTGCTGTTTGGGTTTGGCCCGCCTATGTGTCACTTGGGGGCTTGTCTGGGGCTCAGGTGGTGGTTTATATTGCAGTTCTGTTCTCAAAGCCATTACTAAGTTTCTTTGGGTGTCTTCTGTACATGTGCAACTTGGGAGTGGCCCTAGGATTTCTGTTGGTTCCTGCTCAAGATTAAAGGATCCCCTTCCTCCTGGGATTTCTCCTACACCTTGACTCAGAGAGACCCCTTTTCTAATCCTGAGATAGATGAGGTTCTCTCACAATTTTAGCTTCCATGATTCCAGCCCACACCTAAGGTGAAGAGGCAAGATGAGAAAGGAGAGAGTGAGAGAGTGAAAGAGAGATGGAGAGGGAAAGAGAGAGGGAGTGGAGGAGGAGGGAGGGAGGGAGGAGGGGAGGAGGGAGGCAGAGGGAGAGGAGGAGGGGGAGAAAGAGCGAGGATTCCCTCCACCGTTTCCTAACCACACTTCTTTAACACCAGTGGCCTTTCTGCTCAGAAAAGGCCCACTCTTCTCAGACGGAAGTGGAAACCGGTGAATGATGCTTTATGTGTGCCTTTCACTAGCAAATTTACCAACCCAGAGCCCCACATGCCTGCTTTATTGGGCCCTTACACTCCAGGTCCCCATTCCCCTGCCCTAAGGCCTCCAGGCTAGGTACTAGACACCCAGGGACAGTCCCTATACCCTGGCCTGCTGAAATTATGCAAATTAGCCAATTCGAAACCTACTTAACCTGCCTATCCTCTCTCATCTATTCCTTTCCTCAAAAAACATAGTAAAGGCTCTCTGCCTGCAACTGACTTCCTGCGCTCTCATGGCTCTGTAGGTTGTTGGCACATGTCTCTCCTTTTGGAAACTGTAATAAACTACCTTTTCAGCGGTAATTATCTGATCTGGCAGCTTTGTCACACTGGCCATACCTGAATACAAATAACACCTACATTTTAAAACATCTGCACAAAGTGATCCCCATTTCCACTTCCTCCGTCTACAGAGGGGAATGTTCCTTAGAGTTTTAGGTGACTGCACCACTGTGACGTGCAGCTCACAGCCGGGAGAGAAGGTGGGGATTCCCCTGGCAGTCTCCATTCCACAAGGAGCCCCTTTCCTGGTCCTGTGGACATAAAGATGAGACTTGTTAGTGTTTTGGTGTCGGATCTGTTGCAGTTTCCAGATGTGGCCCACCTTTGATGGAAGCCAAGAGATAAAAGGAGAAAACAGCAACACCCCAGGGAATTCACAGTGACTTGCTGGGCATTCCGGTTTTGACTTCCCTCCCAATTTGTCTGCTGTTAGTTTTCAGATAGCTACTTTTGAAATTTTATTTTATCATTATTATTATTTTTTTGAGACAGGGTCTCATTAAGTAGTTTAGTCTGCCCCTAAACTCACTATGTAGACCAGGCTGGTTCTTTTAGTTAGCAGTGATTGTCCTGGCTCAGCTTTCTGAGTACTGGGATTACAGAAATGCAGCACCTTGCCTGGCTCAGGTAGCTTTTTATTAATATATGTATATTAATATTATATATATATATTTCTTTTTTGTTGTTGTTGTTCCTAACTGCACTACAGAGTATATTTCTTTTTCAAAACAGCCACAGTGGTAGGGGACCAGAGAAAGGACAAGAAAGGGAAGTGGAGGCTCTAGCTCACAAAACCTCCCATTCCTTTTCTCCTACATATTTACAGTCTATGTACAAGCTCCAGGGGATATGGGACAAAGAGGACTTTCTCAGTGGTACCGGGACAATAGGAGCCTTGTGCCATCTGGACCCAATCCCCTCTGTTCTTCGGAAAGCCCCTGCTCTAGAAAGAGGCTCTATGCATTCCCAAGGCTCTGTCTTACAGTGCAGGGCTTTCAATAGTTTCTGTTTTATTTTGTATTTTGGCCAGGATTTTAGTTGCAACCGGTGAGGAAGAGGAGCTGACACAGGTTTCCTCCATAGTGTACTTGAATCGATGTAAAGTAAATGCTGTACTCCAACGTCAGAGGTAACAGTTCCACCATTATATTGTTAGACCGGTGTCGCGAGGAAGACTCCAAGGGCCTCGCTCTCATGTAAAAACAATGGGGTTTTTATTATTCCGTGTACACGGGGTCCTCCAAACAGGTGGAAACGGAGAACCCTGAGTTGGGGCAAGGCTGGTGTTTTTAAGGATGAAAACCGCAAAGCAAGCAAGCATTGTTACAGAAGCCAATCATAGCAGTTAGAGCAGAACAGTTGGTGATTTGTCCATTTGTGATTGGTCAGATCATGAGGGGCGACCAGTGGGTCAGAGTTGATTAACTGTCTTGTTTTGCACAGCTTATTTTTAGGTCACCTAGCTCCTGTGTGGCTTGGTTCTGACATACTTCCCAATCTTGATTAGCATAGTCAGCAGACTTTATCTCTGAGTTTCCTGACATAATTACCTTACTTTAGCACCACAACCTTTTTATTTGTAGAGTGCAACAATGGTTAACATATCAATTGGGTAAGATTTTACAATTCTTTACAGAAGAGAGCATTGATTAACATATCAATCTTTTACCCAGGGAAAAAGGAAGACACACATTTACAGTTACAGGTATTACTATGATATAAACGAAGCTATTTCTGTGAAGAATGTACAATCTAATACAATCTGATGCAATTAACACAATTTGTGACGGGGCTACCAGATAGGGAAGACCCAGGATGTCAGGAGCTAGTACCTCAGGCCTTTGTTTTATGGCCTTTAGGAAGTTAAAACTTAACCTAGTTGGATTTGAAGGGAGAAGGGGAGGGGAAGCAGCAGATGGAACGAGCTTTCTTCGTCTCTTCATTCCCCCCCTTTTTTTTTTTTTGTGGATGACCTCTAATCTTAGAGGTTTGTTGTAGCTAGGGGTTCATATTGGTGACGTATGACCATTAATTTGACCTGAGAGACTTGTCCCCTTATGAATTGGGTAATCCAGTTAATGAGGCAAGGGACAATGGCTAGGATTAGGATTAAGGTCACTAATGGTCTTATTAAGGGAAGGAGATAGGGGAGAATTCCGTTTTACATTTTTTAAAGGGGGCTCCCATACAAAGATCTTTAACAATTGTTTTTTTTTGTTTACAGGGGGACCAAAGCCGCCATGTAAGGTCGGCATTAATGTTATTAAAATCAAAACAAGCAAGCTAAAACAGTTCATGACCAGCATAATCTAACTATGCTTTAGTCAATTTTTAACTTTAAGGGTTATCAGTCTGTTGTGTAGTCCACTGAGTATGTCCCTCGTTGTCTGCTGTTTTTAGTGGCTTTACATGAGTGTAGTGAATCCGCGCAGTTTTTTCTGCTACCTTGATGGCAGTGGGGGTACTGAGCACCACGGTGAAAGGTTTTTCCCAGTGGGGTTCGAGGGAGTCATGGTGATGACATCGAACCAAGACTGGAGTCCTTGAGGCCTTGGTCTCTGAAGGCAGGTCCAAGTGTTTTTGTCTAAACAGCTGGTGGATCCAGGCCAACACAGGTTGGAGTGTCTGTAGGGACTTAAGATCTCGATTAGTAATTTCAGCTAATTTGTCTTCTGACAATCTTGGAACCAATGGCGGGGGCCTCCCAAACATGGCTTTAAAGGGGGAAATTTTAGAAACATATGGGGTATATCTAGCTCTTAACAGTGCAAAGGGAAGAAGGCTCATCCAATTATTGTCAGTTTTTGAAGACAGCTTAGCTAAAATGTCCTTGAGACTTTGGTTCATATGTTCTATTTGTCCTGAGCTTTGTGGCTGATAGGCACAGTGGAGTTTTAATTAATCTTTAATGCCTGGGCTAACTTTTGGGTGACTCGGGCTATGAAAGCCAGGCCATTATCGGACCCCATTGATAGTGGGAGGCCAAATCAAGGTAAGATCTCATGTAATAGCCTTTTAACTACCACTAAGGCTGACTCAGATTTAGTAGGGAAAGCCTCTACCCAGCCAGTAAAAGTGTTTATTAATACCAAGAGATAGCGGTGTCCCTGTAAATTAAGTTTTACCATGTCTATGAAGTTTATTTCCCAATGTTCTCCTGGAACAATTTTTTGATGTTGGGTGGTCTCCAACGCAGAGCTCTTGGCTGAGTTGACTAACAAACACTGTGGGCATCTGGAGCTCGAAGAGGTGGTCAGTTTGTAGAGTTTTGGAATAAAATACTGAGTTCTGAACAATTCTGCAAGGTGAAACAGCTCCCACCCTAGTGCCTCCAGTAACAGTACTTGTTTATCAGGTAACTGGTATTAGCCCCTTGGGGTGGGAGACTTTATTCCAAGTTGAGATGCCAACTGTAGGTCTTTTTTTGTGTAGACTAGTTCTGACAAGGTCAGAGGACTAGTATC